GTACCCGTCAAGTTCCGGGTTAGAATTGGCCTTCAGCAAGCCATGCTTGTCGTAAGAGGCGACTAACACGTTCGGGTGGTCAGGCTCGCTCACTAGCTTGCCACTCGTCATTGTATCCCAATTGCGTAGATCGATGCTCATGCTGTTGATCACTGGCTTGCCTGGTCAAGACTCGATTATTTACAGACCGCCGGCATAAAACTGGAATATTGCTGAGTGCTACATTAAACAACCAACCAACAAACCAACCAACCTTGACCATTTCGGTGTTTGGCCATACGGAACTACTGACAGCAAATATAGATTGTCATATTTTCGCAATTTCGGAAATCTATGCTATGTTGTCATACTTACATCACTGTTTTATTCTTCAGCATAGTAACCTATTTCTGTATTCTGAACTTGATTGATGACTGGTTATAGTCATGAACGAAGTATTTGGGACGGAACATTATACTTCCCCAGAACGAAAACATTTCTTTATCTCACATAGGGTAGCCCAGTGGTAAGCTTGAGTCGTCACGTCGAAGGTCCGGGTTCGACTCCTACATCAGTGCCATGGCTGTGACATTGCTGGGATATTACAAAAAGCCTCGCTACAACATAGCCACACACCCTTCATTCAAGCAAAATCTCTGATTAGAGGAAGTATCCAAATTACCATAATGTCCCTTGTTGCAGCGAAATTACCGAACGCACTCTCGTGTGAGTGGGTATTTTGATCATTCTACCACTTGCGTACACTTAGTTTTATCACTGTTTTTAATGGCTCTTTCACATCATTTCGCAGTCATTTTGCACTTTCACCAAATAGAATTCATTGAAGACTGTACATTGATTAGCATTGATTTTTCATAGTTAGAAGTCGAACTCCGCATTCTCTCTGTTGGTCGAATGGTGTTGTTTCTATACCTGCCTTGTATTAACTGTATTTCCAGGTCTGAGCTTCCTGCTGATATTCGGCACCCTGCTGGTGATACAGTTCCTGGCCATGATCATCCACCGCATCTCAACTCTCGTCCATTTCGTGGCCAGGGCACCGTTCAAATGTGGCGAACCGATGGCGACCTCCTGGTCCTTCGAAAGCCAGCTCGTGCCTCATGATCCCGAGTTGCAAGACGACGTGGAGACCATACGAGCAGTAACGGATGATGAGTCAAGACAACAGGATGCAGAAAGGAGACATATAGATTCTTCTTCTGGGAGTATTTCTGCCACAGCTCCACTGTTGAGTACTTCAACCCAAAGAGAGCTTAAAACACCGCCCTTTTAAACTGAGGGCTAAGCTTCGATGAACGATTGTTTTTCTTTCCCGAGTGAATTATCATGTGGCATGTTCCTTACCGCTATTTCCGTCTTCACCGTTCAGGAACAATAGTGTCGCACTTGTTGTAAGCATGCTATACCTGAGTATGTAGAATATCCATGCATCAAAACTATAATTGCTGAAGTATTTTTGTCACCAAGCTTATTATTGTGGCAGGTGTATCACAATTCGTCCTTCCTTAAACACTTTGACATAGTGGTCGGAAATTACAACTTCAAAACGTGTAGACTGTTTGCTGTACTCACATTTCTATGGTCTATTGGGAAGGCACATGTAATTCCAAAGTTTTCAGACGTACTTTCCACGTAAATAATTAATCTTGATTGAATATACATCCTTGTTTCACAGTCACGGCTTTTAACGACTTAGTGTCACTATGTGGTAAAATGCAGGTCCATGTGTTTCATATCACATACTACTACTGCTCATAACTCCATACAACAAAACATAACAGCTTCTTCTTTTAGGTCCGATAGAACACAAAGAGTTAAACTGAACAAAGTATGGAGTTAGTTTCGTTTGTTAGGATAAAATAGCACAAGCATATTTGTCTTTACTGTGCTGTTATCAACAGGTTCGTTGCCGCAAACAGTAACCTTTACCTATACAAACTAAATGTACATTCGCTGTTAAACACGTAAACCAAATAGGTAGTTCAACAATTTATCTTCAAGGCATCCGAAAGATCTACCCTATTGATATATATACATTGGAAAAGTCCGTGTGTGTGTTATAACATTTCATGAGGTTTTAAATGAAAAACTGTAAGATTTTGTTCTATTTATAACTGTGCAATATATGAATTGCATAATATAAGCAGCTTCGATTGGCTGTCTCCCCATCCATCATTACAATTGCAAAATGTATCATGTGTAATTCACCCAATTGTTCAGGTATATGTTATGGATTTCAATGCCATTTTAATACACAATCTTCCTTTCTACTAGATTATTTTGACATGATATAAAGATTTGCCTTACGGTACCGTTCGCTCTTGTTCCAGAAATACATTCCATTGATTCAATTAGCATCAACCAACCAAATCATGAGGTACTTATGCGCGACTAATGGTATCGGGTAGTCAATCATTGTATTGTCTGGTCCAGACTCGTTTATTTACATACCGCCGCCATATAGATAGAATATTGCTGAGTGCGGCGTAAAACAACAATCAGTCAGTCATTGTACAACAGAGATATTGATGAAATAACGGAAAACAATTGCCTCCCTCATTTCGGGTAATTACCCATGAAGGTCCGGCTTAGAATACTGGACTTCAGTAAACCATTCTTGTCGTAAGAGACGACTAACGGGATCAGCTGGTCAGGCTTGCGACTTGGTTGACAGATGTCATCGGTACTCTATTGCGCAGATCGATGCTCATGCTGTTGATCACTGGATTGTCTGGTCCAGATTCGATTATTTCCAGATCGCCGCCTTATAGCTGGAAAAGTGCTGAGTGCGGCGTTAAACTCAACTCACTCACTCACTCATTTCGGCTACTGCCTCACTGTCTGTGTTTCATATATCTTTGTCTGTGACGTGTACCACCACTGAAGCAGGTTACGGTTACATCATTACCTTTCGATATTGATCAGGAAGACATGATCATGTTATAGTATAATCGCAGCGATTCCCTGTCACTCTAGAATTTATTTGTTGCTAATATTCTGTTCAACAATTTATAGCAAACCCACGCCGTAGGTTTCAAACAATTTTAGCTGACTGAAATAAGAGAGTGGCAGTGGATATAATTCGCTGTGCGTGCGAATTACAACAATACATATATATATACGTTGATAGTCTAAAATAATACACGAGAAAACAGCACTCTATGGCGGTGTTGAAAATTTAATGACATTCTAAAAGCTACGTGATATTGGCAGTTATGACAAATGTATTGATATACTTCAGAGAGATAAGCGTTGAATGAATCAAACTATATGATTAAATCAGCAATATAATGAAAACATCAAGCCATAACCAAGAAAAAACACACCTCTAGATTGTACAGAAAAAACAGTGAAACTAAATAATACAAAACAAATGAACAATATAAATCTACTACAACACGCCATAAAGCAATAAACACACCTCCAGATAAAAAAGGGAATATGATCAGGACAGGAACGTGATTACATAAACTGCAAATGGTATTAAAACCAATATGGAAGCATAAATATATATCACCACAAAAAAATGGCAACGACATATACAAATCGCAAGTTGACGTTAGATGACCATGCCCTATGAGGACTTTCAGTACCTTTGTTATTTGTTGGAAATTACTGACAAATGAAGTCGAATATCAGAACTTTCAGTACATTTGTTATCACTGTTGGGAATTACTGACAAATGAAGCCGAACATCAGGACTTTCAGTTCCTTTGTTATTTGTTGCGAATTACTGACAAATGAAGCCGAACATAAACAGAACAGAACAGAAAACTATTATTAAAAACGTGACAGTAATAAATATACTTTGAATGAAGTGGTCTTACGTATTGTATTGATGGCACGGTTATTTTACATTACTTTAGTCCTGTTCAAGGGAATATCCACCGATATTATCAGTTATCAAATTCTACCAAATCTAAAAATAGTTTGCCTCATGTTGAACATATCAAACAACACATACAATGTTTTATAGCAGACATAAACCACAGTAGTTTATGGGTACCTGGTATTTAAAGAAAAAAATTATTAAGTAAGATACATGTCCATGTGTCATGAGAAGTTTCTAATCGGTGACACCAGGTTGCACAATCATAGATTCGCTCATGGAAAATATCACCATCTAAATACATAATAATTTGAATACACAACTAGATGCACTACATGCACATATTAACAATTCTCTGTACAGGCTGATGTCTTGATTCAGTGTTCTGTGATAAATTTCCGATGAACTTGAAAACATATATATCGACAAAAATTGCCAAAGTTGCTGGATTTCAATACACGGCCTACACTATGCAAAACAAAAATTATCTGTGAGAATGAGACATAATATACTACAAACAATAAGTATGAATACACCCTAAAATTTGATAGTCATATATTAACTTAAACGTATGTAGTATATATTAATTACAGTGAGGATATGAAATGAAATAGCTTGTTCAGATATGGTAATTAAATGTACATGTTGCATCTACGGAAGCGCACCCATATATTGGTGACGACAGCAGCTTATGTATTCATACATGTGAAAGCAGTTACACTTCTGGGACATGTAATTATCACCAACTGTATATATAATAGAGGTGAGGCAGAACCGCATAGGACCGCCTCCGTGGTGTAGTGTTTAGAGCGTCCGCCCGGAGAGCGGAAGGTCACGGGTTCGAGCCCCGACCGCGTCATACCAAAACACGTTAAAATATGGAACTTGTTGGTCCCTGCCTTGCGCTCGGAATTAATGGTTACAAGAAGGACTGGTCGGCTCGGAGTCAGTATAATGTGTCTGAGTGGGTTATTCATGCTTCACTGCGGCGTGGTATCTCACTGGGCTAGCACTATAAAACCAGCTTAAGTCTGGGCTAGTACAAGCAGCTGCACTTAGACACGCATGCACGTCGTCACATGAACGAAGTTTTCTCCAGCGCAACGTTAAACCCAATTTCACCTCACCTCAGAACCGCATATGCTGCAATAAGTTCACGGCGTACAACAACTCACTGTACAGACCATGTTTATTGTGGTATCAACTACTGTGTCATTCTCGAAGTCGCCGTGAAATGATGTCTAGGATAAGGAAGGTCATCTGCAAGACTGATTCAGTGTTCATGTTACCTCAAATTTGTTGAATGATGGAGATCTCACGTTGCTTGCTCTCAGTACACGAGGGCAAATACTTGTTTCTACCTCACACTGGGTGAATCAGTTAGACCACGTCTGTCTTTGAAGGACTCAGTCCATCCAAAATTACCCCGAAAGGTGACTGGTTTAAGTGACCATAGTGTAGCTCAGCCTGTGGCCACTTCCATCCACTTATCAAAGGACAACCTGACAAAAGCATTAGAGTCTTTTTCAATTTTGAAGGAAGCTGGACCTAAAGGATCATGGAACACACATCCATCAACAGACCTCACCGCAACCTCAACGATGCCGCAGTTTGTTCCAGTGTCATGGATTTTAATCTGAAACACATCTTTGGGTTTTAGTACAATATCTGAATGTCTATTCTTGAAAACAGATATTTCTTTCTGCAGTTCTTCTGCAAGCATGCTCTGCAATTCATGTTTCCTTCCTTGCCAGGGAAGCGATACTCCATCCATATCATCGTTGTTGTTGTGACCTGTCACGCCAACATATACAGACCCACCCTGCTTTCTCTTGGAAATGGATGTGACATATTGCGGTAATGAACAAGAATTGATGATATGATTCACCCATACGCTTACTGAACGGTAAGGTGCACCAAGTGACTGGTAGACATGCTTGTCATCATTTCTGTCAACATAGATCTTCACAGCATCAGCTTGGTCCAGATGAGGCAATCCTTGTACAGTGGGCTCGGTCGTTGATACGGTGCGTTTAGACAACAGAAGTTGCCTTAATTTCTCAACAGACGCAGTGACATGTTTATCTACGCACCAAGCAAGCAGCTTTGTTTTCAAGTCAGCACTTATAAACGTTTCGGATGGCAAGACATCTACTTTGTACACTTGCTCCCCTTCACTCACTGCACGATGCCATCTAAAGCCATCTGACATTATCTCCTCTTCAGTTAACATTGCGCCCAATACTGGGACAACAGTCGATTGGAATGCATCTTTATCTTCGTCCGAGGTCATCTCGTCGTCAGTAAATTTTGATTGAAATGCATCTTTATCTTTTCTGAATATGCCTTTGCCAACATGCACAAACAGAACACCACCACCAGAATTTCTCATTGAAGATAAAGCCTTCTTGAATTGATACTCCGCAGATGGTTTCATTCCCTTTGTTTTTCTGTCAACCTGTGCCTGGTGTAGGTGAATGAAAAATACATCATCCTCTGTTCCCATGTGATAGTTTGCATCCCCGCAAACCCGGATGCATGTTGTACAGGCATCTGAAACAAAAACCTGAGTTTTACCAGTAGGTCAGTATGTGTTATCATTACAGTTACACCGCACAGAGTATTATTTTTGGTACACATGTTTATATTTCCACAGGTAGCACTGACTATCTTGGGTGAATCGATGTTGACATCACCAAGGTAAATGTGAAATACATAAAGCTGTTTATGACTAAAATCTGACATGTGACTAGACATTATGATAGGAAGGGTCGAAAGGTTAGGATGTAGTAAAATACTTACACAACTTTACTGCAGAGGCCGGCAGTGGATGGAGACGGAGAGCTGCAAGAGTCAGTTTTATCTGCTAGTACGAGTACGCAAGTGACACAAATACACGTATCTATGAAAGGAGTGTTTTGGTCTTTGTTTCAAGGTCATATAATGTCACGCAAGGTGGAATAAAAGTTCTAAATGATATTGTTTTGTAGATTGAATATGACATAACGCCGCTTTGAGCAATATTCCAGCAATATAAAGGCGGGGAACACCAGAAATGAGTTTCACATAATTTATTGTACCCATGTGGGTATCACACGTTTAACCACTAGGCTACCCCATCGCCCTAGTTGTAAATGAAACGGACAGCATCAACTAGTATTATGATTGCGGATATACGAATACATATCATAAACGAGGTAAGTTTGTTACAGATGAACACATGACTGTGCTCTCACTGAAGGCATATCGTTGTCAAAGGCAACACAAAACGATCTTGAATCAGCACCCTTAAAGGCAATTATACTCAAAAAGGCCACTTTGCAGCTTTGAATTCGTTACGGCATACTGGATCATAAAGGCTTGAAAATTCTGTTTATGAAGCAGTCGATAAAATAACGACCTGCCCATCGTCCCCAAAACGACAAAATCGTGCCTCCGGAGGAATTTCCCATACACCACAAACTGGTGAATTTCCCATCAAATGTAACGACTAAATAATGGTTTTCACTTCAAGCTTAAAACGTTGCAATAAGTGAGTGAACACATTGTGTATGATATGGGCTACACCAAAATTATCTGACCAGAAAGAGTCTTCCATTGGGCCATTGACTAAGATTATCATCAATCGTAGGGCCGACATGATTAATGCCAAACGCCAAACCTTTGCTCGTTTGGAATTTGCGAAGGAAGAGGACCAGACTACATGACTTTATGACGAATCATAATCGAATGTCACTGACGGGTAGGTCGACGCAAAAAGGATCACCGAAGGTGTTAAATCAAAACTTTTCAAATTCATTGAGTTGCTGCATACTGAGTACGCTAATGCACTTGTTATTTTACTTGGTGCTTGAGAAACCACTTCATGCAAGAGAATCCATGTCTTTAAGAGTGATATGGCCAAACAGAAACAAGTTAAACATTATCGCAGTGCTGTTTTACTTTTGGTTTGAAGACACGAAAAAAGTGTTCTGTTACAGAATCGTTGTATTTTTGTGCTGCAAATCTATATCTATGTGTTTCAAGGACACCCTGGTCCCTATAGTGTTTGACATGACCACACAATCTATAAACAAACACGATGAAGATTTTACACTCGACAATCGTTGGTCCAAAACAGGATAGAAGATATTTACAAGTTCTTAATCGTCGCTTCAGTTACTCACAACATACGACCAAAAGTGACGTTTCAGGCAAATATCAATGTGTACAAGTATTTCAGTTTCTGAGGGCGTAACAGACACTGTAGAACCAGAACACATGTACTATAGCTGCGAAGAATCGCATGAAAGGATTTTCCTTGCACCGCTGCGCTAGTACCTTTAGGGCAGGCCCCAAGATATATTAGTTTTGATGGTTTATCATTAAAATTAACCTCATGTAACAAGAAAAATTGTCATTGATTTACTTGCCCTTTAAAGACCATTTGTGACCACTATTTACGAACAGAACATAAAGTTAACCACAATATCTCAAGCGGACAGTTAACTATTAACATCATTATAAGGAAAGCAATATCAAACAATATATTATATTAAATTTTATTAGCGTCTCAAATGTAACGATGAACACAGTTCTTCTATCGAAATTTTAAAGTAAGTATGCTCACGACGATGCAAGATATGTCCATACTATTTCGACAATAATAAATGACTTCATTAAAGTTAGAGCATACGGAATAGGTGTGTCAGTATGAGATAATGTCTATTTACCTGAACGTGCAAGGCTCTTCAGTGATATGACGTCACCATAGGTATCCCCTGTAATGAATCGAATACACTTGCGTCATTATGTTATCATATTTATGCATTATCTTTCGTGTCGAATGCGAATTTGAAAAGCCAACAGCGTCAATATCGGGTGGAGTGTCATGATGCAAATGTGCATTTTAAAAGTGAAAATTGCGCCATTTCATTTCAGTTTTCTTTTCTAATTTGTACGATGTCGCTAAAGCGCTTTATCTTACATGTCAATGTGGGTCCTATACCATTCACCAGTTGTTGACATTTTGCCTAATTATCAAATTTATGGCAAGCTAAAAGAAAAGTATGACCTTTGAATTACTGGGTTTATTAGCGGCCTTTGACTTCTGTGCACCAGACCATAAACAGATGACCAGGCAGTTTTAATGGCCATATAAATAAGATAAATTGATGACAACAAATATGATAATTTCCTACATGGCGATATCGAAAAAATGTCAAGTACATATCATAATATGTCTTAACATATATCTTCATGAAATAAACATTATCTGCCCTTGTTACCACCTCCAGGTTCAGCTTCGGTCAAGGTTCATTCCAACTGTGATGCAGTTCGTGGTAGAAGTCATGATAAACTTTCTAACGACACCAAAACTAAGCGATAGAAGGCACTGTCAGAAACTAAGTACTTTCATTAAAATTTTCAGTCACCTGTTCACAGGTTATCTTTGCGTCTTGATTCCAAGATTCGTTTCCGAAATCTCAAACAACATCCTAAATAACAATTCTGGAGTACGAGGTATTTACTGTAGGACTGTTACTTATGCCATATCGTTTCTTCCTGACATAAACCAGTTATATAATTGTCTACCTAATAATTAGAAAGCGTCCCCTACACTCTCTGTATTTAAAAAATGACAACAACATTTGACAACAAAACGCAGATTTTCCTTCAATTTCGGATCTCGTTTTTGTCAAATTGTGCACTGCCGCTTTAGACTCGTCAACGCTAACATGCACATTATGCCGGCCAGATTGTTCCTGCAGATATCACACAGAACACCTTCTACACTATTTCTTCACGTGTGTAATGTTTACACACATAAAAAGTAACATTTATTTCTACTGCCATGACCATAAGCTGGAAATAGGTATGAATGGAAACGAATACTTGTCTGCTTTTGAAAATATGAACATTCTTAAATCAATCCACAATTTTATCACAACATCAAAATACCAATGTGACTTGAATTTTATACAGGAAAAATTATTTCTGAATAATCTGCCTATGTTTAACCATTCAGGAACACCAAATTGTATCTGACCAATTCCTTATACACGTGTTCATCTTATAGATTCTAATACAAATACAAATATACATCGCACCGATTTGTTTCACCATACTTCTGCGCTTCTGTTTAACAGCAATTGTTAACTTGTATGATAACGTATATCATGTTCTGACTTACAATTTGTATCATGTCTTGTATGGGAGCTGAGTTGATATGCGGTATAACAGCTTGTTGTCCTAACAGTGTTCATTTATTGAATAATTACACGTTTAACTAAATTCATTTTGTCTGAAATGAGGAAGTGACGGGTTGCCCAAGGGTATCATAGGCGTGGTTGATGGGTTCCACATTGTTGAATAACGAGGAGGAAACGGGTTGTAAATAAGGGAAATCAAGTCCACGCCACTACCATATGTACATATACATCTACAAAAAGCATCCTATGTATAATTTCAGTGCATACAATTCCCAAAAATATTTGTCATCCAGATAGCTAATATTTCATCACAAATGTGTGTATTTTGGGTTGTGTCATAGACAGTTTTATTCTCGAAAACCACCAGCAGTGGTACATGAGAGAATAGAAAAGTTTACAGCACTATATATAGTGAATAACGAGATGGAAGGAATGTACATTGAGTCATAAAGTTAACACACAAACACTTGCAAAATATATAAAAAAATACAGATATTAGATTCAAAACGGTGTAACTTTTAAACAGAATTACAATTTTAATCGTTGTGATATAATTTTTTAGGAATAAGTTGAGATCGATCTTGCGTTAAAAACTTCACATTGAAACATAAAATGAGACTCCTCTGCAATTGCAGGAGAATTGCATAATGGACAAATTCTTTCTTCTCCGGGTACACCACTCCAGTGGTCAGTTTCAATCGGAAGGTTATGATTTGACGTTCTGAATTTTAAAACCGGAACAGATATAGTTTTAGATAGAAAAAGATAGGTTTCAAACTTTGGAATTGCCTTAAAGTAATGATAAAAATGGCTCTTAGATTTTGATGAAATATTCTGCCTCCAATTTTGAATGAACTGGTCTTTTAGAATTCTTTCAACATTTGAGACTAACCATGGGGTGGTGTATTCTTACGGCTTTTTTTAAAAACATATCTTTGGCCAACATTTCGTAAAATATGTTTTATGACATTTACCCAATGATATTCGTTATAGTTAATTTCAGAGTCTAGGGGTCTGCATATTTGTATCTTTTTCTGCATATTTTACCATTTTCTCTCTTCCCAAACAGTGTCAAAAGCTTTCGAAAAATCAATAAATGCACAATTTAGTGTTTTCTTTGAAAGTTTTAGGTAATGCATGAGCCAATGAAGAACGAGTTTTTTGTCAGCCGTCGTTTTCAAAATCCTGCCTGTATGGACGTCGAGATTCGTTAGCCGTATGTTTAGAATTCTAGTAAATAACTGATCAATCATGAGCGGTACTGGGTATTTTAAGTCTATTTTTTGCTCTATTTATGTGTAACGTAGGTAAGTACGTGCGAGATGCTGTAGGCGAACTGACTGTAAGATGATGTGGTTTACTTGTTCAGTGTCAATGTTATGAACGAATGGTACAGGCTTGGATTCATCATACTTTGGGGGATTTGGACAGTGACGGTAATCTGGTGTAAAGCATTGCCCGTAGCAGAATTTTCTACTGATTTCAAAGTAAAGGCGACGGCACAATGTACATCTTGATATAAAGGTGAGAATTCCAAGACTTCAAGTTCAGTAAATAGGAGTAGACAGTTGAGAGACGCAATAATATTACCTATAACACTGGTGTCTTTACACGCTGTTTTCCATACAAGTTTATCTTGACTAACTTTACCGTTGCATATAAACTGTTTAACATATCATGTTTTTTACACAATTGGATCATTTGCATCAAAATTAGTAACTGTTTCATGGTCTTCTGTGCCTGGTACATGGGACATACTTAAAGGTCACATGCAACCAAAAAATCAAAAATAATTGAAACACAATTATCACTTATTCGTGACATATAATATACATTGCTAATTATGAATAAACATATCAACAAAATTATAAGCGTACAATCGCAAATCAAAAGTGCAATATTTTGTACTTGGGTTTACTTCCCAAGAAACGAAGCAGCCGGGATACCCACCCCAGTCAGAGCGGGTGGGTGTGCACTGAAGTGTAACGGCTGGTTCATTTGCCGATGCCCTCACGGCTCATTGTGTGTGTGTATATATAGAGATTTTGGGTTTTGTAAATAGATGCTCATTTTTTGTGTATAACATTTTGCAATCAACAGACATCATAACATGTCATGTGCACAAGTACCACACCTGCCTTTCTGTGTAATTACATAATGTGACAGAGACCGAACTCGGGCCATAAATCAATGCGTTTTGTTTATGGTGTATAGTCTGATAGGTGTTAAGTTCAAATTGCATGTGGTAAGGGATCAACGTTGTGTATTGAATATTGTCATTAGCAGACAGGCAGGCAGACACACAGGTGTCAATACAACAGACATTGAGTTTTGTCTGTGACAACGACATATCTATATCACAGTTAGAAATTCTGTCAACGCTAAATAACGTTGCTTTTAAGTATCGAACTGAGAAAGTGACTCGGTAAGAAGAACGTGTGGTTAAATAGACAAATGTAATTATATAAACAGTTAAATCCGTAATCTACTGTCATAACATATAAAAAGCTCGCGCCTGTGAAATATCAACAAAACATTAGAAAAATAGCTCACACCAAAGCCTTCACCGAATATTCACCGGACAATCCGCTTCCAAGCTGCGCAAACCTATTTCACTGTTCATGTGCTATGAGCGCAGCCCGGCGCAACGCAGCCCAGCTGTTGAAACCAGTTTACCCCCAAGCGCTACGAGAAAATTAGTGAATCGTCTGAACTCCGATTGACCCGCGTTTATATGTTGAATTGGCATGTTTGATGTTTTGTTTCGGCAAGTCCATACTGAAAGATATCAGAATCTGCAAAGTTGTGTTTTACGTTACATGTGACCTTTAATTTGTCAAATTCATCATTTTCGATGTTAACTAGGTCAAATTATTTCAAATTATATTCATCAAACACCTTGTAATCTCACATATTACTAGCTATAGTTGCTGAATCAATGTCACCACGTAAGGTTATTTGGTAGGTATTTCATAACTGACTTCTCAATTCCATAGAATGTATCAGCATATTTAGAACCTTCTGGAGCTATGTAAACAACACCGATGTACATATCAGGGTCTATACCAAACAAAGCTTTATTTAATCTAGTCCACAGTACATATTTACAACTGTCTTTTACCTGTGATATATATTCATTATATTTGTCTCTAACAATACCCTAAGTCGACACGATTGTGTTTAGGATTCGCTGAAGTGTCCTCGGAACCTGGGTGTTCCGATTGAGACAATGCAATTATTTCGGTTAGTGTGCTGTAATAGTGCATTCTGCACATGGTACTGATACGGGTGTGAAACATATGACATATGTTTGTCAGAGGACATATGGGATAACTATACCATTTGGTTGTGATAAAAATTATTAATGTGGCAAAGAGGTCCTGAAAGACACCTACTTGTCAATTTGTCAATTGTGTTAAGTATTGTTCCGTCATGTCATGCATGATGGGAGACGCAATGTAGCTTTTTTCTGGTGTAGATAATATTCGATTTTACACTCTGCTTTTAATAATCATGCATATTGACGTGGAACTTTCGATAAAGTCAAATCGCGCAACACTATCAGACCCATACCCACCAGATAATGGAACTTACAAGGAAGCATTCTTTCACCTACCTTCTTCAATTATAAACAACATATTCCCGGAAAATATTGGCAAAATCTAAACAGAAAATAACAAATCCTTCTGGCCCTCATTAAACTATGATAACAAATTAGATTAGAATTCCAAAATTGAAAGGCACATGCAACATCATACCAACAAACTACCCCTTAACAACGAAGAAATCTCGTTAAAAAAGAAGCACAATTCCTCTGTGTAACTTTTGACCCACATCTAAAATGGACACCCCACATTCATAACCTGGTTAAGACATCACAAATCCAAAGCACACGTTTACAAACTGACCAATTACTCAAAGTAAATATTTGTAAAATACCTCCTACAAAAACCAATAAACGAAACCTATAATTACTCCAGGTCAGGCTTTATTACTCGCTCACAAATTTAGACCATACCAGCCTTCTACAACGTACGCGCACGCAAAAGCAAATACACAAAACAACCAACCAACCAACCAACCAAATAAACAAACAAAACTCTT